GCGTAGTTTTGATTGGGCTTTGTTAGGGGTTTTATATGGGGCATTTTAGAGCAGGCTTTTTATTCAATATTTATTGTTTTTTATTATTGCCTGTTCACCACCCTGAGTCCCATAGGGGAGATAGGGCGGTATATACATTTAAATAATAAAAAATAAATAATAATAAAAACTTGAACACCATTGACATTGACAAATTTGCCATTAGTCAAATGCAAAAGGCGGCCATACTAGGAACTGCTTCCATCTTGCGACGATATCTGTAATACCATCAAACATCCACATCTGCCTATCCCAGGTCCTTGGTAAGGACTCAATAGGTAGACAAAATGCCAAATCCAGCCTGAACATCTGGCTGATTGTGCGATGATCCATGATAATAATAATAATAACAACAACAACAATAATAATAACAAAGTTGGAAGGGACCTTGGAGGTCATCTAGTCCAACCCCCTGCTCAGGCAGGAAACCCTACACCATTTCAGACAGATGGCTGTCCAGTCTCTTCTTAAAAACTTCCAGTGTTGGAGCCTTCACCGCTTCTGGAGGCAGGTTGTTCCACTGGTTAATTGTTCTAATTGTCAGGAAGTTTCTCCTTAGTTCTAGGTTGCTTCTCTCCTTGATCAGTTTCCATCCGTTGCTTCTTGTCCTGCCTTCAGGCGCTTTGGAGAATAGCTTGACTCCCTCTTCTTTGTGGCAGCCCCTGAGATATTGGAACACTGCTATCATGTCCCCCCTCTGTCCTTCTCTTCATTAAACTAGACATACCCAATTCCAGCAACCGCTCCTTATATGTTTTAGTCCAAGCAGGAAATCCTCCTCTGGATAAATGGTTCTCCAATCTCCTAAAAACCTCCAGTGTTGGGGCACCCACAACTTCTGGAGGCAAGTCTTTCCATTGATTAATTGTTCTAACTGTCAGGAAATTTCTTCTCTACGTGCTAGGTTGCTTCTCTCTTTGATTAAAGGCGGCGCACTTAAAAAATAACTCCAACCCTCGTCTTGCTGTGGTTTTCCTGTTGTGGCCTGAATATTCTACATAGCAGCAGATTGAAGCGGTTGGACTTTACAGTGGTGGTGGTGGTGGTGGTGGTGGGGCTGTACCATCTTCACAGGATTGAGAGATACTATTTTTGATGTTCTCCCAACTATCAAACTTCACAGAAAGTAAAATCCATGAACACAATTGGGAGAAAAAAAACCACCTGTAGTCAGCCACTCCCTCCCTGCCGTGGTACTCGTCCAAATGCAGCAGTGTTGTTTTAATGTAGGGATTTTGAGCATCTTAATCGTTACAAACAATGCATTGCAATCAGTACACATCCAGTACCTCATTTCCATCTTATTCTATTGTTATTATTACCTTGTTGTTATTTTATTGTACAATACAGGCAGTCCTGTATTGTAATAAACTTACAATAGTTTATTTAGTAATTGCTCAAAGTTATAAGGGCACTGAAGAAAGTGACCATTTTTCACAACCTTCCTAGCATCCCCAGGATCATGTGATCAAAACTCAAGATGCTTGGCAACTGGTTCATACTTATGACCACTGCTGTATCCCGAGGTCATGTGGTCACCCTTTGCAACCTTTTGACAAGCAAAGTCAATGGGGAAGACAGATTCACTTAACAACCGTGTTACTAACTGATTAACTGCAGTGATTCACTTAACAACTGTGGCAAGAAAGGTCGTAAAATGGGGCAAAACGTGACAAAGGTCTCACTTAACTACATAAATTTTGGGCTCAATTGTGGTCGTAAGTCAAGGACCACCTGTATACACCACCCAGAGCCCTGTGGCTTATGAGTTAATGATGATGATGTTTTCCATTTAGTTGAGTCCGTTTCTCGGCAATTTTACGGGCCAGGTCTCTCCACATCTTCCCAAACTTCCACATCATCATCACCATCATCATTTTTGTGTATTTTATTATGACTAATAAAATAAATAAAAACGATGTCTATCTTGTCCTTCAGCGGCTCAAAGTGGCCGAGATAACGCTTTCTCCTTCGCCTTTTCCCCCGACTGCAAAAGCTGTATGAGAGAGGCTGAGCTACGTCTAGTTTCATGGAGTGGACCTCAACCCGTCCAACATCTTGGTCACGAGACCGCCCTGGCTCAACCAGAGTCTAATGGAGCTCAGTGCAAGGCATGGAGAAGCCTGGTGCCCTTACCATGATCTCTGCAGGTCGTCAACCAGAGTCTAATGGAGCTCAGTGCAAGGTATGGAAAAGCCTGGTGTTTAACGAAGAGAAGGACGAGGGGGGACATGATAGCAGTGTTCCAACATCTTAGGGGCTGCCACAAAGAAGAAGGAGTCAGGCTATTCTCCAAAGGGCCTGAAGGCAGGACAAGAAGCAACGGGTGGAAACTAACCAAAGAGAGAAGCAACCTAGAACTAAGGAGAAACTTCCTGACAGTTAGAACAATTAACCAGTGGAACAACCTGCCTCCAGAAGCGGTGAATGCGCCAACACTGGAAGTTTTTAAGAAGAAACTGGACAGCCATTTGTCCGAAATGGTATAGGGTTTCCTG